GCATAAAGGTACATGAAAAAAAGGAAGTACAAATGCGGGGAAATGGTGAGGGGGCTAAGGGAACCTGCTGGGCGCCGGCCCCACGGGTCGGCGGATTCTCCTATTGGTTGTAGTATATTGTAACAGCAACGTAAACTCGCTTGGCTGAACCACTGCAATTCTCGCCTGGGTCCAGCAGGATGAAGTCCCTGATTTGGTTTTGTCTACCGGGAAGAGGGCTTGCTTCTCTGAGACCCTGAGCCCTAAACCCTAAACGGCATGGAGCGCACAGCCCTTGAGCCCAGGAATCAGCGAGTCGTATTTGAGCCGCTGGTGTACCCAAAGACGCGGGGGTCTCAACTCTACTCATGTCTAGGGGTGAGGAGTTTGCAATGATTTCTGCCAGAATATCTCCATGTATGGGCATTGTGACTAACATACAGCGCATGTTGTTGCACGGGTTTATGGGCAGTTGCAAGAAGGGTGTAGGTAAATGACTTATTTGAAAGTCTGAGGCCAGGGCAGCGCCTACAAAACGCCTCAAAATTGTGGGCGTTGACCATCCCAGTTGTTGCGTATGTCAGCGCAAAGCTTTAAACACTCAGACCCTAAACCCCTTAAACTCTAAGCCCCTAAGCTCCTAAGCCCCTAGTCTAACGATCTTAGCCACTCCTCATTTTTGTCATAGTATACCCCTAAGGAATTATGAAACATGTGATGCTTATCACAGGTCCAAGGGGACAAACCCTAAACCCTAAACTGAGATCCCCGTCCAAGCCAGGCCAGACCAGACCCAGGAGCTTGTGGAGGCAATTGCCCTGTGCATATAGGGGTATATAGCGATCACATAGGGAGAATGGAAAAGTGGAAAAGAAAATAGATACTATTTAGGGTTTAGGGTTTAGGGTAATTCCCAAAATTAGTGTGCCATTTTGGTACCCCTGAATATTACGCGCTGTAATACAATCTATAATCAAAGGGGGCCGAGAATTTGGATTACAACAGTTTTAACCTCCGTAGGCTGTAGGTTCAGGGTTTAGGATGTTAGGCTTAGGGTTTAGGATGTTAGGTTCAGGGTTTAGGGTTTACCCAACCCTAAACCCTAAACCCTAAACCCCAAAATCTAAACCCTAAACCCTAAACCCTAAACCAGGATGAGGTTTAGGGTTAGGGTGTCGGGGTTTTGGGCTTTTTGGTCTAGGCTCGGCTTCATGTTTCTCATGCTCAGTTGAGAATGTGGCGGGTGGCTTATACCCCTAAACCCTAAACCCTAAACCCTGACTACTCAGGAGCAATGCAGAGTGACTTTGGGCTTGGCTGTGTGCTTTGGATTTCAAGTTGGGGCAAAGTGCATGCTAGAGTTGAGGCTTTAGGGTTTGGGCAATTTGCGCCTGTCATGATATGTCGTTCTAGGCTACTTGTCGTCTATTTACAAGTGTTGCCATGTACATCTCTCGGATAGGCCGTACATGATTTGGGGACTCCTGCAAGTCTCGTAGAATTCCTCTACGCTTGTACATGCTTCCTGGACTTTTGGGCGAATTCCTGCTTCGAGGTGTCTTCAAATTTTCACGGCCTTGATGCTCTCAGGAATCTCCCATGCCACCTCCACAACCTTTTCAGGATTGGTGAATGTGATTCATCACAGGTCTGGATCTGACGTTTTTGAAGCAGACTGGCCAAGATTACAGCAATTCGATGCTGGCTTGCAAGATCCAATCTTAGCTTGAAGCCTCTTTATGGCATAAAGGGCAATACGAACAGAAACCTTAGTCTACAGCTAATTCAAACAGGCCAGAAAGGTCCCCTGAAGACCCCGCTGAAACGCAGATTTAAGCAAGTTTTTCGCAGCCTTGCTTAAATCTTATCGATTTCCTGGGCGAGGTTGTTCTGGATGCCTCATTGTTCATGCTGGGCAACAGCAAAAGCAGACTTGCTTTCTCATTCAAGACCCCTCAATACTAGGCATGTGCTGCTCATCAAGGTGTGTATGGGCCGAGGCAAGGGTCCCTACTGACGACACAAGACAGTCAAATGTCAGTTTCAGACCCTCACCCCGCAGGTGACAGCGCAATCCTTTCTCTTCACATCTCTTGAAGAGAAGGACCTTCGTGCCTGCAGCTCAGCTCTTGGGGTTTCTCAGAGGCCTATCTCAACGTCGAGTCAGGCTTTTTGATGTATTTTTGGGCTCCTACCTGAAGTACCATATCATTGAAGTGGAGTATAGGAGGGCCCTAAGTTTGTCTGGGAGTCTGATAATCGTCTTACTGGGGATAGATTGTCGAGAGGCGGCATGGCCGAGGTCTTTCTTGGTTTGCTTTTATATAGGGGGTATAGAGGGGATAATGGAACAGAAAATGGAAGCTAGTATATAGTACATTGGGGTTATATAGGGATAATGGAAAAGAGAAGGGAAATCATTATATCACTATATTCTAATGGGGCATGTTGTTTGTTTGTTCGTTTGTCTCTTTCATTTTCTGGGTTTTTGAATTTGTGAACACACTCGGCCGATGCAGGAGCCACTGATCGCCCAGCCATCGATGACGTACTGGAGAGAATGTAGGTATTATGTTTAAGTGGGGATTATCATGGGGATCCACTTTGCCACTGCCCCTTCAGCATCAGTATGGAAACCATCAACAAATGAGCAGTATTGTCTGGAATATACAATAGTCCTCTTGAGTACCGCGGCTTCCAATAACCCTAAACCCTAAACCCCAAACCCTTAATAGTAGATTCTATTTTCTTTTTCATCATCCCTGTATAATCCCTATATAATCCCTATATAATCCCTATATAATCCCTATATAATCCCTATATAATCCCTGTATAATCCCTATATAGGTTAAAGCACTCCTGGGATTGCACATTGCCAGCAGCTTTTGCAGGTGGTCATTGCAGCCATGAAGGGGCCGCTCATTCTAGAGCCAGGCAAGCACTTGGACATGCTGATTTCTCAAAGTCAGGGTGAGAATCATGGTAGTTTCCCTAAATAGGGGCAGCCCAATATAGACCCCAAAATACTATAATCCTTCTTATGGGGATCCCCGAAACAGTGCCCTCATGTTGGGAAACCCTCATTCCAAAATGCGCTGGATTACAGAGGCCACCAGCAAAGCTAGAACCATTTGAAATCCTTTGCGTGTATATACTGGGGTTATTTAAGGATAATGGAAAAGAGAATGGAAACTACTATAATGGGTTGTATAGGTATTGTAGGGGTTATATTGGGTTATGTAGGGATAATGGAAAAGAGAATGGAAACTACTATATTATAATAGGGATCATGGAAGAGAAAATGGAAACTACAATATAGTATATAGGGGTTGTATATGCGCGTCGCATGCACCAAAAAGGAAGCAATACTTCTGGGTGCCCGCATTGGAATTTTAGGAGAATTCTGCTCTTTGTACCACCTTCCTCTATTTCACCGTTTTTGTTTCTTTTCCTCTTTTTGTACCTCTTGCCGCCTCTGCGAATTTCACGGTCCCACTAAAAGATTCATTGCCTCCTTGAATTGTTGGCATCTTCTGCAACAGTTTGTTTTCATCTGTGTATTGATGTACACACATGTGAGTCTGGTTCCTTCCAGTGCATACTCGCCATATTATCACTTATAGTTGCTTACGTTAGTGTACTTCGTCATGAGTCATAAGATCCAAGAACTCATAGCAAGTCACTGTGCACTTGTACTGTTTGGAATAGCCCAAAATAAACTGCGAACCAGAAGTTGGAGAGATATCCAAGGCATTGATCATTAACCCCTGTGCTGGATGCCAGGTCATAGAATCATCCAGGAGGGTGATACGGGAGATCATCTCTATGTCGTCACGGACTGTCCCGACAGCGAGACGTTGGGCTTACCATTCGATATGATCTGCTAATACTGCGATCCTTGACAGACAGCATTTTCAACTTTTGAGAAGCTGCTAATTAGCTATCTGTTAATGTGCTTCTCTAGGCAGCTTGGCTGTGGATCATGTTGTCCCTGGAGAGGACGGAGCCATGGACTGCATCAAAGTCATTGATGGCGTGGAGATGGCTACTTGAATTTAACACCTTGGCACTAGCAACAAACATGGTCGCTTTCCCTTCGTTGGGTATCAGCTGCCAGGCTACAGTAGATGCCTCTCCCAAGATCATCTCCGGAAACATTTTGACATTGCAGCGTTTCCAAGCACATCGTAACATCTCTTTGCTTCAGATGCTCCAGGATGCTAGCCATAGAAAGTCTGCACCAGCAACGCGAAGCCATGCAGAACAGTCAAGGCCTGGGGTTATGGCTTGAAGACTGCCATGTGAGGTTGTCAAAACCTGCGTCAAGGGCGACCTGTTTGGGGAGCTCGTGCTGGCCTAAAGCATACGCAATATCCCTGCTAAGTCTCAGGCATTGGGGACACAGCTCTTGAATTGGTAGGAAGGTCCAGGGAGAGTTTCCCGGAAAGTGCTCTTTGCGTATGCGCCAAACTTGGAATTGCAAAGCCTTAAGAAAGGGGTCCCAAGCCGTTTGAGTCGCATGCTGGATCCTAAGCCGATTCCCCCCACAGACCCTAAGACATGAATCCTTGAACGCTAAGCTGTAACACAAAAATCCTAATTTGTGATAACCACTTGCGCAAACTTAAACCCGAACAAGCCCAGTCTGGTAAACCCCACATGCTTTGGAATGGTTTTAGGTTTAGGTTGTAGAGTTTGCAGGCTAGGGTTAAGCATTACGGGTTGAAGATCTAGTGCAGAATCAGACGGACAATCAAATGGAAGATGAAATGGACATCAATATTTCAAACATACGTACATGCATGCATACGCATACATACGCACACACAACCTCAAACCTTACTCTTTGCTCAGGCGCTTTTGTACAACTGCCCCAGAGCGGCCAGCGTCCAATGCCGCGAGGTGCAGCTACCAGTGAGGAGGTTTAGGATTTAGGGTTCAGGGTTTAGGGTTCATGGTTTGGGGCTTAGAGCTTAGGGTTTATGGTATAGGGGCAGGGAGGGTATATGAACTGTAGTCTAAACTCCTTAAAGGGGATTATCTAGGAGATTGTGTAGGAGACCATTGTTGGGGTTATTAAGGGGGACACTAAGAGTTTAGACTATGGCAGTTATGGCATACAGGCGGGTTGGAGGAACGAGGGTTGAAGAAAGCTGGTTTAGGATCCAGGGATTCTAGGGCCTGGGGGTATGCAGATTACGTGGGGCTTGGATGTGCGACCCTTTTTGCCGATCTTTCCTTTCCTTTCCGTGCTTTTTAATATATAGTAGTGTCCAGTTTCTTTTCAACTATCCCTATATAACCCCAATATACTTTACGGCAGTTTCCATTTTCTTTTCCATCAACCCTAATCCACCATGAATCCCGGGAGGGCCCTTGGTTTTTACTTTGCAGCCTTACTGGGCCCCAGTTCATTCCGCAGCGATTTGGAAGGGCAGTGCCAAAGAAGACAAACAGGCTCAAGCGAAGGAGTGCGCTCAAGATTTTGCTGGGTAGTCTCCGACAGTCCCTGTCACATACCCCCTTAATAACCCCTATATGTCCCCTATGAAACCCTCTTCAAGGAGTTTAGATTATAGGTCTTAGCAGTCCCAGGAGGACCTCCAGTGACCGCCAGATACCGTGGTTTGAGATACCCCACCGATCAACTTGGGACATGAGAGCAACTATGGCCGTCGGCTCTAGAAGTTGTTGTTTTGATATCTGCCACCTACACCCAGAACCGCCGCAGAAGCGCTTTGCCAGCAGCAGCTACTAGGCACTGTTGCATGCACCTGGGTATGTCTCAAGAAGCAGCCTGCGACATCCTGTATGAACCCTCGAAGCGTGATGCAAATAGGGAAAACTTATCCAACTTCCGAAGCTGCAAGCCCATTTGCTTCTGGCCAGCCTTCTGTTCTCTGGGAGCTGGATCGAGCTACCTTCAACAATATCGTCATGGAAGGACTGGCGTGTTGGATGGACGGACACGCCAAATGACATTAGCGATAGCCAGAAATGCGGTGTCAGTAAGAGCAGAGATGGGCAAAAGTGAGAGGAGATTGGACAGCTGGTTGGAGCAATGATTATAGTAGTTTCCATTTTATTTTCCATTATCCCTATATAATTTCTATATAGCCCCTATGGAACTCCTATAGAACCCCTATAGAACCCCCATGATTCAGTAAGGTTTGTGGGTTTCCGGCTTTGCAGCCCCAGAGGTCAATGCCTGTCACCGGTGACAGGCATTTCAGGTTCTGGGTACTATAATGGGTTATATAGGGTACATATTGGGGTTATATTACATTATATTGGCGTTTTATAGGGTTTAGGATTTAGGGATAATGGACAAGAAAATGGAAGCTGCTATAACGGGTTATGCAGGGTATATATTGTGCTTTCAACAGTCGTCTGGGATGCTTTATGAGCTGGTGGTCAACACGCTGTAAGGTTACACTATAGGAATATGTGGAAAATGTAAACTACTCCTATCGTTTGGGGCGAACGTGCGCCAGGAGTCCAGCGGAAACGGAATCAGACCGAAGCCTAGTTCTTTTTCTCATCCTGTCTTGCAAGCAGCGAATGTTGCTGGAAACCTTGTGAGTTCTAGAGCCAGCCCAAAGCATCACTTCGTCTTCCCTGTGCAAAGGGGACAGTCACCTAACACATGCATCGTCTGAGGTGCCTCTCAGTCCTCTCGTCGGTGCCACTGTTTTCCAGCATCACGCGTGGAGAGGCTCTGCTGTGACGAGCCAGTAAATCTGGAATTCGCATATCCAGCGGATTGTTTTTGCGCGGATGCCGGCCACCCACTCCAGTTGGAGAACATCATCGATGCCTTGAAAATGGAGAGGCGACCGAGGGGCCAGGGCCTCACGACAGCGATGTGAACGTGCTACAAGGTGTTTAGAGAGTGCTGAGAATCTGCAGACGTGGATTACCCATGTGCCTTGTCAGTTTGCATATGTTACATGTGCGCATTTCTCAAATCTTGGATCCCCTCATGTTCTCTCCAAACATTCGCAGGATGATAAGGACCCGAAAAGCCCGTTCGCGATTGATAGGGCCTCTGATAGGGCAGTCGGTCTCAGGAGACATCATCATCACTCAAGGCCTGGATGCCAATGGGTTAGAGTTTCTGGTCACGCGGATTGGTTGATGAGCCCTTATGCCCGATGAAGGACTCATCTACGTGCTTGGTACCCAAATGGTGGAAGTCATCACGAGATTGGAATATGGCAGATGTCACGTTTTGTCCGAATAGACTCAAGAAGGGGTGTGTGAAAAGAGGTTGAAATCAGTATTTGACAAGGCTACAGGAAGTTCAGCAACCTACCGGAACCAGATTCTCCAGGCCACCCCTCACAAGAAAGGCACAAGACGTGCAGCCCAAGCAAGGATTGCTTGAGTTGCATTCGGTTTTCCACGCCTGGACTCTGGACCCGACAACTACTCGCTCATGAAATCTACGTCACAGCAGTTCTATCAGATTTTGTTGATTAGGCAGGCATTGCCCCGAAAGCTTGAAGAGGTCAGAAGGTATCACTGCTGCAGCATCCAGAGACCGGGCGCAATTTGCAGGTGAAGTTGGCGATCATTTCTACATTGTCTACGAGGGCCAGGTGACGCCCACTGCTGGGTTGGGTTTTGCAAGGTTTCAAGTATTCCTTGGGTGAAACGGATCCCATAACCCTCTTCCAGAATGGAATTGGGAGCTGTGCCCCATTGAAAGCCGCAAGATCTTACCCATTGTTGTAGATTTCCGTGGCTGACAATCCATGTCTTACGATGCGAAACGATTGCCGACTCGCAAGTGCCAAGGTTATGGCATCCAAAGTCACCGAGGAGTCTGCAGACCCCGTGATGATGGTCCACGAGGTTGCTGCTCAAAAGTCGTTCTATTTGTGGTATGATAGTTGAAGACAAGGAAAGTTTCGGCTCCTGCAGTATGAAAGCAGCAGTATGAACACAACAGTACCCACGTAACGGCGCAGGTACCATTGATAGCATGTGCAACAGCACAAAAATCCAGGTAATTTTGCTTGTGGCTTGGTGAAGATACAACAAAAGGACGTGCCAAAGTATTGAGAGTATCACTGTAAGTTTTTCCACAGCGGCACTCTGTAGAGCATTGATGCAGTGTTAATATGAGGGCAAAGGTTTGTAACGATGCTTTGCCCTCGAAAGCATGTATTTGCTAGAACATTTATGTGCCCTGTACTTTTGAGAGTAGCGCGCTGCATCTGCAGCCGTTTGTCAGCTCGAAATCCCCCGTTTTTGAGGTAGCCGCCATCTCCCAGTTATATCCAGTCATGGCAGCGAATTCCTCCAATGTCTTCCTGGCGTTGTGTGGACGCTCTGTGATGAAGGCAAAAGACTTGTTTTGAGGCGCGCAACTGTCTCAACAGGCGGTAAGTCTGCGCCATGAAGCAGGCGATGGCCCGCTTCGTCACCCCTCGGAATTTCAGGGCGACCAGGGTTATAATTGCAGTCAGGACTGATCTTGGGCCAGCCGCCTGCTGAACCTTGGTTGCTCCCTCAGCCTGTCTCCATGCGGTGGGACGACTACCACGCTTCTTTCCGTGACCGCCGCCGATGGTTCTGCCGGGCCTGCCGCTGATTGGAGACCTCTTGGGCGTCTCTTGCAGCCGTGGCCGACGGGGGTGCTATTTTGACTTCCTAGTTTATGCTGTCATCGTATGTTCCGCTCTGTCAAGGGGGTCACTGCCAAGATGACGCGCGCATCCCTGAAAAAACCTTAAGGCCCCACTCATGGTGGTTGACCCTCACCCTCTGTTCATCTCCTTGGCGACGCATTTTCGATGGACAACACTGGGGCGCCCGCCTCATGAGGAGTCCAGCCTCCTAAGGCTGCCCAAGGTAGAGCCCACAGGCGCCCACAACGCAATGAACGCCGTAGGTGATCCACGCCGAGGAGCCATCCATCCGTTCCCCTACACTGCCGATCGGATCGGCAGGTGTGTTTTTACCGAGTGGGGCGGGCAGGACGAGGGCAATAACGCCTTCCAGCGTTCGCCAAGGAACAGCTCTATGACATGCCTGTGGATGACGCATCTTCCTCCAGGGCGTCTCCGACAAGGCACGCCGCAGGATGATTGGTAATGGCCTGCGTTGTGTGGGGATGCGTGGGGCGTTGGGTGGCGACCTCGCCTCTGGACGAACATCTTCTCTGAGACCGGAAGCTGCCGAGACCACGAGTGCACGCCCGGCCACTCCTCAGCCTCTCTGAGTGGGGTGCCGCGCATGCACACGGCAATCATCAGCCGGATGTTGATCGCGGGCAAGTCGGCGCGATCGTCGGAGCAATTGTTTCATGATCAGCTCATGTGTTGACAACGGTATTAGAAGCTCTGCAAGTGCTTTCGGCTTATTTGGGTGCCCTCCGTTGCAGATTATAAGTTGGACTCTTTTACCACCTCTTCTTGGGTTCCCTGGCAGGGGAAGATTATTTCCTGGCCGCCTTTACCCGGCAATTTTCGGTAAGGTGGGGCTTTCCGAGCTGGGGCGAGTGTAGGGACGGGCGTCTTCCTCTTCCGTACGGGATGGCCCTCTATCCAATGGATTCCGTGACGCTTTACTTGCTTTGTCGGCCAGGTGGCAGGCGGTACTGCCAGAACAGGTCAGCTTTTGGCACGGACCCGAACCAAAGGCAGTGATCTATGCTGAGGCTTTTACAAGGGCGAAATTCGGCTTCGTGCACCAAGCCGCCCGCATGGGCTCCAGGGACCTGGCCAAGAACGGCTGAGGTTACGTCATCCGTATCGGGAAGTGCATCTTTCACGACATGGGCATCATCCCCGACCATTTTGTCAAGAAGTTTGTTTCGCGTCGGGCGTATATCTACTAGCGCTTGAGATCCCAGCGCCGCCCATGGCAGCATTCACTTGCGCCTACCTTCTCCCACACAAGCGGGCGGACGTTCATTGAAAACGCCGTAAGATGGGGCGGTTGACATCCTCCCTCCCCCCTCCTGGAGCCTGGCGGCTGCCCGGGTGGCATCCGACCTCGCAGGTAACGTTTGACGCCAACATCTCAGACTCTACTCCCTCGCGTCGTACGGTCACGCTCGTGGCCCGAGGCGCCCTGTTCAGAACATCTTGGGCATCTTCTCCGCGCCCGCGGACGACATGATCTACTCTGCTTGCGGGGCTGCTACTGACAACTCTGTTTCTGAAGGCCTCCCGATCATGCTTTTAATTTTGGTGCCGGTGCATTGCAGGGTTCGGGTCGTCGTGCGGTTGCAAAGCTCCGTTTTCATCACTGGGCGGGGGCGAACATCCAACCGCATCAAATGAGTGCTGTGGAGCGTACGTTTGATGGCACAACTGTGTGTGCTGCAGCATCATCCCTTTCTGATTTGTGCAATTTTTAAAGGGCCTTCAGTTCAGTCATTATTTTCGCGTGCAAGAGTGCCCCGAGGGTAACGCTACATTTTTCTGGCAATTGTGGGCTCCGCGGCCTGAAGGCGAAAATCTACTCACGACGAAAAAATGCCGTTGCACATGTTGGGAAATCCGCAGGTGAGAGGATGTTTGGTTCAGTCTCTGTCTGTTTATCCTGGTCAGGTATTGTTTCAAGTAACTCCTGAAGGAAAAGTGTTTTGACGTTTGCCTTGCGAGCAAAAAGGGCCCTGTAGGAGACGCATTTAGTCACCTAGTCCGTAGACTTTTGCTTTATTCAGGAGTTATGGTCTTCTTTTCATCATGAACATGGTTTTATTTTGTGTTCTTGCCACTCGTATTGGTGTGGTTTTCAGCAGCTATGTTTACCGCCTGTTGACGTTGCAAATAGCGAAACCTTACAACATCCTTGAACCCAACAACTCGAACCACCAAAAAAAGCTTCATCCCGGCTCTGCATGTTCCTGGATGCACATCAGAATTCAGCTGCTTCCAGGCTGGCGACTACTTTGGTGAGCTTGCGTTGATCCTTGAGGATGATGTGGGACTTTCTTGAAAATGAGAGGTTCCGCACGTTTTGCGTCTTCTGTTATTATAATGAAACCTATAGAGTCGAAATTGCAGAGGTGCGAAGGGGATTTAGTTTTGGACAGTGACTCAATCAATAGTTCCTGCTTACCCATTCAAGAAACCTTCATAGATTTTTGACCATGCTGTCCAACCCTTCTGCTGCCCACAAGCACCCAAGCGCAGATGAGGGGGCTTCTAACAATATTCCCTGATACAATCCTTCAGGAGGACACACGTAATGTGCTTTTATACTCCTTCCTCGAGTCCTTAGGGGCCCCTTTGGAGAAACCCCACGCGATGCATGGTAGGAACCGCGGGCAGCTACAGTAGTTGCCAGCAGCGACCCGGAGGCTGGTTGAGCCAAATTTGCGAGGGCTTAGAAGGTTCAGGGTTGTAGAGGTTAAGACATTAGTCGGTAGGGCTAGATCTAGGGTTTGCTTGGTGGCCTTAAGAGGTTCGGCAAGATGTTAGTTGCATTCAGGCATCTCATTGTTTTCCAAACCCGCATGGGCACTGGACGGGAAATGGTGGTTGACCACGAGTCTGAGGAAGTGTTCGACATTCAGCTTTTTAAGCTTGTGGATCTTGGTGGGCAGCACAAGATGCGTCACGGCTCCGGAGGAAGGGAGGGTGCAATAAGGCTTTTGGTCCAAGACCTCGAATGCGCAGTGATGCATAATCAATGATGTCGCCTTGCAGTTGATTTGTGTTTGGCTCGGCAGAGGCAGGATCAGAGCAGGTTTTGACGTAATGCCCGGATCGCATTGATATCGAAGAACTGACTTGACGCGTTTATAGGGCTTCTTTTGCAAATCCAAGGTTCAATTGGGTACCCCAAGCATGATTGGGTGCAGAAGTACAGAATTGTCCGAAAAGGGCACATGAGATTAGGGACTCCCCAGCAGGACGTGATGTGCAACATAGAGAAGCTTGCTGGCAGTCATGTGCATAGCAGCATCCACGGGAACCCAACAGCATATGTGAAGTAGTCACAACTACTGTGCCTAGGACGCTTGACAATCAGTATCATCACTGTGCATGGCTGACGATGACAAGCTCCTTCCTTTGTGGTCTCACTACTGCTGCCGCGGGATTACTGCCGCTTCCGTGGCACGCTCCGCATTTGCGGGATCATTTTGGTACTTGACAGCGCTACAAACATTAAGATTTATGTGTTCAGCGAGGGTACATGTTGTGGTGTTCGTGTATCACGCGCCCAACTTGGAGGAAATGGCGCTGTGGATGAACTGCTGCCAGGGCCTCCCTATGCCCTCAACCCCACGCCCCACGCCTGAGCCCAGCCAGCTGCAAGCTCAACTCCGTAACGCAACTGGGTCAATGCTGCCCTAGCGCAGGGTCCTGAAGGTGTTCTGGAACTTGATCATGCAAGTTACAAAAGAAAGAAACAATTGCTTCAGCACCCTGAAGACAACAGCCCGCATAACTCACGGAGACGTGAAACATGAGGGTTCTTCTTGTGAAGGTACCCCTACACAGAGACCCTGAAGTTAGAAGCCCCCCTATGTCCCCGCCCTAACTCCGTTCTCCCGCTCCCCTTTAGGAACCATACAGAAGTATGGAAATGCTGAGAGGTGGTCTTGCTTTCGATGGACCGTGCCACCTTCAAGAGAATCACCGGAGAACACAGTGGTATCCTGAGCTTTGTGCCTGGGGTTGCTGAGAGTCTCCGAGAAAATTGGGGTTTCTTTGTGTGTGTGGGTGTTTGTCGCAAGGGCATCTGGAAAGCCACCTTTTGCTGGACACGCGTGTAAAACCCTTGCACACAAGCTGCTGTAAGTATTTTTGACGGAGACTTCGGGTTGGCACTGGGTTGGCCACTGAACACCCCAAGCTCTCCGTGCTTCGCCCTGACTTGACAAATCTGCA